ACAGATGTGTACGGCGCCCGGCATTCTGACTTCTGACTCAGCCATTGGGTTTTGCCATCAGGCAGGTTGCAGGGGGCAGTGGTGAGCTGCTAGCAGCCGGTGCTCACAGCAGCTCAGAGAGGCCGCCCTGGTCGAGGAAAGGGATCCAAGGGGAGCACCGGCAGTGCCTATGGCACCTATAGCACGTACTGTGGGTGTGCAAGACAAGTGTGTGCTCAGCCTCGGGCATCCACGCCGAGCAGCTCCCCAAAGGCCAGGGTGGCGACCGGCCCGGAGATCTCCCCGCCCCATCCAGCTGGAAAACCCTGGGCACAGGGAGAATCAGCGGGCAGGTCCAGAAGCCACCAGCAAAGCGAGTCCCCCTAGCGCTCAGCGCCTGTAGGGGCACCGCTCTTGTTCACACATCCGTTAGCGGGTTTCCCACCCCCATCTTGGGATGGTCTGCGCAGCCCGGAAGCAGGTGGTGTTCCAAGAATTATAAATTGGAGATCTCGTGCGTTAGCAGTGGTTTGAACAAGAGTGGGAAGAAAAGCTATCAGACCAGGTGTGTTCCCCATCTTCTGTCTATAGCTCATCTTTGCTCTATATTGGTGTGGGATTATTACAATGCCATTGAGGGCGGATTGCTTTATACAGCAGTCAACACAGAAACACACTGATGGTTGCCGGAGGAGACAGAAGTACTCAAACAGCTATTGGTTTTTGCTATCTCATGCAAGGAAAAAAAGGCATTGCTTGAATTCTACCATCCTCTCTTAAAAACGGCCCAAGTTGCTACTGGTCCAAGTCCCAAAGGCCCAATAACACTGGGTGCTGAGCCAGAGCCAGCGCTGGAGCCATGCTCACGCTGCAGCCACCACACCATGCTGCAAACATAGGCCGATGGGGGCAGAACAAGGGGAAAGTGTCAGCACTACGGCAGGGAGCTGGGGGAGCCAGCAAGTGAGGAGCAGGGCGGGAGAGGAAGTCTGGCAGGTGTTCACCCAAGTCCCACCCTCAGGGGCCTCGTGCTGTTGGCTCCGAGGCCTCCTGCCCCCTGGCATTTCTGAAGCCACAGGTGATGGCAGAAATCCTTGCCAGGCCAGCATTCCACAAGGATGTCCGGTAGCAATGGAGAGGTCAGGATGAGGCGCCCCTGAGCCACAGCTATGTTCAGGAGCAGGGAGATTCCATCCCAGGAGCAAGCTACCAGCCACGAGGGGACCAGCTCGAGGGTGATGCAAAAAGGTGATGCATGTGGATCAGGAAAGAGAAGGGACGGGGGTGCTGGTGGCACGTGTGCCAGCAGCCAAGCAGAGCTCATGAACCCTTGCAGTGCTCAGAGCACAGTCCCTATCGCCCATCACACAGATGACACCGATGCCCAGCAAGACCAAGGCATCTGCCCAAGGCCACACCGGCAGGGATGGAGTAGGGTGTCGGACTGAGGCACTGCCTTAACCAATACATACCAATGCAGTCCTCCAAGGATTTGAACCTAGGCAAGGGCCGGAGGTGCTTGGTCAGCCTTCCGGGGACTATTGTTCCCACTGGCTTCAGGGAGCCTGGGCCACTTCATCTCCTGGTCTCCCATCTTCCCTGTGGCCCAGTCCCACCCCAGCCTCCACTTACGAGGGGCACCCTCTGGGAAATCCACTTCTCAGACCAACGGGGTTGATTTTACAAGGAGAGGTTTTTGATGAAGGAATCCTGGGAGCGAGGAATTAGAGGCATTAAGGTTTACTCAACTGTTCCTGGTTCCTAGAGATGCAAACTGGGCAGTTGAGGCTTTCTGTCCAAGCTGCTGAAAAAAGGCATAGCCAGGATCCCAATCAGCTGTGGTCCAGGTGGCCCTCTGCTGCCCTCTGCAGGCCGAAGACGGCACTGCCTCGCTGTGGTGGGAAGCTGTCTCCACCAGGCTGCCCTCACACAAGGGATGGAGCCGGGACGTTCCGGGCAGTGACCACTGCTGAAAGCCGATGAAGGTTGAGGCTGCCTAACAGAAAAGGGGGCACCATGTTTAACCTGCACATAGAGGACACAATGAAGCACAGAATACTAACATTTGGGGAATTCTTATGATTTTTCCGCATATCTAAAACCACTTCAAAACGGAAAAGCTAAACAGCTGCACTTTCAACGTGCTACCAAGGAAGCACAGCTGTCAGGCCTCCGGGCAACGTGGCCTCCAGAAGCAGGGGACACCCACAGAAGATGTGGACTTATCTCCCATGGGGCCCCTCCCAGATTCTAGTGCATGACAACCGTCGCAGTGGGCAGGGCGCCCAAGGACCCGTGCGACTACAGGAGGGAAGGCTGTCCCGTCGGCAGTAGCCATGAAAGACCCTCCACGACACGGACTTGCCATGCACACCCTCACGCACACACGTGCACTTCAGGCAGTGACTGGGAGAGAAACAACAGGTGTGTGTGTGTGTGTGTCCTTTCCCCAACTCTCCCTTTTAAATTAATACATCTGTAAGAATTTTTTTTTTTAATTGGAAGGTCATATATACAGAGGAGAGACAGAAAGATCTTTCATCTATCGATTCACTCCCCAAGTAGCCACAACAGCCAGAGCTGAACTGATCCAAAGTCAGGAGCCAGGAGCTCTTCCAGGTCTCCCACGCAGATGCAGGGTCCCAAGGCTTTGGATCGTCCTCCACTGCTTTCCCAGGCCACAAGCAGGGAGCTGGGTGGGAACCGGGGCTGCCGGGATTAGAACTGGCGCCCATATGGGACCCAAGGGTGTGCAAGGCGAAGACTTTAGCTGCTAGGCTACCAGACCAGGTCCAAATAACACACCTTTACTAAAAAAAAAAAAAAAAAAAAAAAAAAAAAATTTTAAGCTGCAAAAAGGCAGAGTGCATCCTGGGAAACACACTGTCTATAGCAGAAGGGCCCCCTGGGACATCCGGAGCCTCAGCCGCGGGCACCAGCACAGGGTGCCCGCTCGAGGGAGCTGAAGGCTGCTTCCCAGCCTGGACTGCACCTCGGAACCACCTGACAAACTTTTTTCCCCAAACACTGAAGGCTGCATTCCATCCCCAAAGATTCTGATCCTGGAGTGTGGCCTGGGCACCGAGACTCCTCCAGGTTCTTTTGTCTTAATCTGAGAATCACCGCTTTGACGGCTCTGAAGACCAGCTTCGCCATGTCTGCTGCAAGAAACTTCTGCAAATCCCAATGCTGGATGCCTGTGGGCAGGAGAGCCGGAGGATTCCGGCCAAAGGCACACTACCGGTGTTAGCCCCAGCACTGGACGCTTGGAGTTGGGACTTCAGGACCCCACGATCCCCCAGGAAAACCAACCCAGGGGGGCAAGCACACGGCAGGGAGGGGCACAGTGTCCCAGACCAAGTACCATGCACAGCGAGACATGGCAAGTTAGGAGTAAGGCAGAGGAAGCAGGCCGGAGAACAAAGAGAAAGCCAGGCTACACACAGGCGTGGAGTCCGAGTGTGGCTGTGAGAGGCAGGGCTGCGTGGCACCCGAGGCTGAGCTGCTGGCCAGCTCAGCAGGCCCCAGCACCCTGTGTAAAAAGACCAAAGCCCACTCGGGTTCTAGCACACAGGATGGTCCTGCAGGGAGGGGTGGCTGCCCTGCAGGAAGAGGCCAAAGGCTGCAAAGGCCTAGAAATCCTGGCTAGGTGCGAAGGGGGCAGAGCAGGGGAGGGGGCAGACAATAAGCAGGAATCTCCAGGATATCCAGGAGGTGCAAAGGGCAGCCTCTCTCCTGGATCCTGAGCCCGCCATGGGGACAGGACAGGGCTGGCTGCAGGACAGGTGTGTGGAAAGAGCTGGTGTTTGCTCAGGCAAAGCCCCTATGAAGAGGCCCCACGGGCCATTGGAAACAGGCCCACGCAGGCCAGACGCACAGGCCTGGCACTGCAGATCACTGTGGCAGTGGAGCCCCGAGAATGGGTGGGAGTCCGGCGAGGGGGTGGGGAGGAGTCAGCTGCAGAATGAGGATCTGCATGATGAGAAGGGATGGCCAGCGGCAGGCTGAAGGACAGGCACAGAGGTGGGCAGCAGGCCAGGAGGGTGGCCTGTGAGGGCAAAGGTGTCCTTAGGAAGAGCCCCAGGAAGCAGTGCTGTCCCACACCAGCGACCCAAGACACCAGGCAGCCACCCCTCCTACACCAATGGCCTTCCAAATGCACTTACCGAACCAAGTCAAGAACCACACATCCCGAGAACCAGGACTGGGGGCAGGCCTGGCTAGATGGGCAGTGGCACCTAATGGCACAAGTGTGGGCTGGAGGGTGGGGTCAGTTGGGTTGAGCTAGGCTTCAATGCCCAATGATGTGCACAGTGCTAAATGGGATGTGGGACAGACCTGACCAATCCACTGCACATGCTGGCAGGCACAAGAACCAGAGCTGGGGGGCCGGTCCACTCTAACTGGGCAGCTCCCCCTGTTGTGTGTGAGGGACGAGTGTGTTTTGGGCAGGGCAGGGCTGGGCAGGGCTGAGCTGGGCAGGGCTGGGCTGGGCTGGGCTGGGCAGGGCTGGGCAGGGCTGGGCAGGGCTGGGCAGGGCTGGGCTGGGCAGGGCTGGGCTGGGCAGGGCTGGGCTGGGCAGGGCTGGGCAGGGCTGGGCTGGGCTGGGCTGGGCTGGGCTGGGCTGCAGCACCCACTGGTTTGCAGAGGAAGGAGGGTAGAACAAATTGATCAACCACTCCAGTGAAACTAGACAGCAAGTTTCTGGACGAATGGAGACTGAGGTGGACTATGTTAGCCAACTGACCTTGGAACAATTTCCTAATCCTGGGAGTGGCAACATCAACAGCATCTTAGAACCATCGTAATCACTTGAGCGGAATCCTCAGAACATGCTCAACGGGGACCCTGGGATGGCCCCGGGGACCGGGGAGGCTGGGTGTGCTAGCTCCCAGACTCAGAAGGAGAAAAAGGAAAAGTGCAAACAATGGTCTTGCCCACTTTCCCCTGATCCTTGACCCTTCTCACCCTGATCAACCATGTAAACATCAGAAATAAAATGAAAAAAAGAGACCCACACGTAATCTAGAACGTAATGTGTTTATTTGTGTAGTAGGAACACTAGGGTATATAAATAAGGTAGATACTTCCCATGTACAGTAGGTCGTATTCTTACATTGTGCTAAGAATCTACACTGACAGAAGTGCACACAGAAGGACCAGCTGGGACAGGTGCTGCTTTGGGACGACACCAGCCGGGCAGGTGGATGGCACAGCAGCGCACAGGTGCACACCCCCCGTAGGAGGCCACCGGGACTGTCCCACAGACCCCAGCCCTGAGACACTCTGAGGGCAGGAAACAGACACCATCACCCAGTCTCCGTGTGTCCTCCAAGCGGGCCGCGGAGGGGGCCGAGCAACTGTCCTGGGCAGACCCCTGGTAGGTGCAGACACTGGCAGTGATGGGTCACCCATGCAGGACTGCCTGGCACTCCCAGCACAGATCACTCCCCGAAGAGGTGGGGAACCACTGCTAGGTTTGGGCGACCTTTCTGAGAAAATAAATCCTGAGTGGGGAGAAATCTGAAGATGGCACCGGCAGGGGCAGGAGAGGTGGGCAGGGGCTGGCTGCCCTTCCCCTCCAGGTGGGAGGGGTGCTGGACATCAATCAGTAAGATAAAAGCACAGATAATCGTGGGCCTCTGGGACAGCCCAGGGCTGGCCTGTGACACCAGACCCCAGCCAACTCCCCTCCTTAGCCTTCGCTGACTCCGTTGCACTGCCAGTGGCCTCCCAGGTCCCGGCTCGCTCTTCTGCCTCCTAGGCTGTCTGTTTCATTGGCTCCTGGTGCCAGCTCTGCCATCTGCTTCATGCTCAGCCCCTGGCCACCCAGCCCGTGAGACATCAGAGCACTGGGTTTCCTACAGGCTGCCGTCTGCGTATGGAGCAGCTCAACGGGGCAGTGCAGGAACGACACAAAACCAGCTATGCACATCCTGTCCATTCACTAACATCCTTAACCCCTTTCCCAAACTGGTGCCCCTTTGAGAAAAGCCAGCAAGAACAGTGCAAGAACCCACCGGGGAACAGAAAGCGGCACCCCAGCACCCCAGCACAGACTCCGCCACATGGATTAAGTGGATGGTACCTGGGACAACAGCACCAGCTGGCCGTCCTGGCTGAACAGTGCCCAGTACCTGGGAGAGCCCTGCTGCACTCCGGCCTCAGCCTCCCTCTCGAGAAGACCTCCAGGCAGGGCCAGGGTCGGCCTCCCAGGGCTGTGTGAAGCACTGAGATGCCATGGTAGCAGTAAGGTGGGCTGCTTCTCTCGCTCCGTTTCCCTGGGAAAAGCAGGGGTGCAGGGCAGCGGCAGCATGGTGGTGGCCAAGAACCCCGTCCCTGGCATTAGCACGGTGTGTGTTCAAGGGCCAGCTGAGCGCAACACATCACTCCCATTCACTGAGTGCTTATGATGTGCCAGGCGGCACGCTGAAAGCACACACGCGCTCCCTCCATTGACCCCACACGCAGCACAGGAAGAAGGTGCCATCCCCAACCCCAACCGCGTCAGTAGTGCAGGCAGGGTGAGGGCAGCCCAGGGCCAGCCCAGACCTAAGGCCATGTGAGCCCATGCCTGCCACCTTGGTCATCACTCTCAGCCACAGTTTCCTCATTAATCAATAGAGCATGAGAATGGTACCCAATCAAAGACGGCTTTCTGGACGAAAAGAGATCATGTCTGTAAACCCTTAGCGGTGTGCCTGGCACACAGTAAGCACTGTGTGATGACCATCGCGACTGACAGACACCTGCTGGCATCTCACTGGCTCAAGAATCAAGACAAAGAACCTCAGTAGAAGCATCTGCAAGAGAAGAAGGGAAGGCATGGGGTCTCCACACAGCCAACAGCTCTGGAAGCCGCTGGAGCTCACCCCCTCTGCCTGCCATTCTCCTGAGCTCTGAGGACACGTGGGCATCCATCTGCAGCACACACCCCCCGGCCTGCTACGCAGCTGAGAGGCCGCCCCAAAGCCCCACCTTTATCCTGCAGAGCAGCCAGTGAACACAATCATCTGGTCAACCTGACAGGGCTGTCACGCAGCAGAGACTCACCCTCCTGGGCACATGAGTGGCATGCAGGACTGGGAGATGAGCCCCTCGGGGTCCCCTTCACTACCACACTCCAGCGCCCTGTGCAGGTCATACACAAGGCACCCACCCCACAAGGGAAACCAAGTCAGGACATAGGGGCTGTGAATCTCACAGCTCTGGAAGCAGGGCAACTCTGCAGAAGTGGATAGAGGGACCAGGAAGTGCAGTCTGACCGAGATAAGGACGACAGGAGGCTTTGCCCAGCCGCCAGCTGCATCTCCGGAGTGGACGTGCCTGCTCCGGCTCCTCCGTGAGAGCCCGTGTCCCAGACAAGCACGGGAGCTGGGTCTGCCCAGGGCTCCCTGCTACAACAACCTGCACACCTTGCACGGGTCAGGAGTCGGCCCTCTCCCCTCGGCACCTCTGCGCCCTCCTCTCGGTGTGCGAAGGAGCCAGACCCTCCTGTGCCTCCCTTTGACAGAGAAACAGCAGCAGCCTAAGTCATTACTAAATAGGAAGGGGCTTCAGCGGCGACCTACCCCATCAACCTGCAGTGTTCCAGACAAGGGCGCTCTGCCTTGAGTCACTCACCTGCCCCCTCCTCCACTGTGCACAGTGGGGAAGGCCTGAGCTACCAGGGGCTCAGTGACAGAGTGAGGATCTGAACCCAGGGACCCCCCCTGGCTCAGGCTCCAGCCGACTCAGCAAGTCTGCGCAGTCTCCCTTTAAAATACATGCTTGGGTTTTCTCAAATAAGGTAGTTGCGGGAGAAAAGACCAGGGTCAAGGGGGGGGAAATACCATAAAAATACTTTCAAACTCCACCCGTAGAAGGCCAACCACTGTCTTTCATCCCTCTGAAGAGACCAGTCCACACAGATCACACACCAGGAGGGAACACCTTCTACACGCAGCACTGGAGTACTCAGGGACAGGAAACAGGAAAAATAAATAAATAAAACAATAAACATGAGTACGGCCTGGACTGCCTCAGAGGGGTTCAGCTTCAGAGTAAACCACAGATGTACACTTTTTGGGCGCTGGCAGTGGGCGGCATGGACACACACAGAGAGCCCAGGTGCCCGAGACTAGGGGTGAGAGCTCGCAGCAGTGTGGGTCACACCCAGACCAGGGGCGAGAGCTCGCAGCAGTGTGGGTCACACCAGGACCAGGGGTGAGAGCTTCTAGCAGGGCAGCCACGCCAGGACCAGGGGTGAGAGCATGCAGCAGGGCGGCCACACCGGGACCAGGGGCAAGCGCTCGCAGCAGCGGTGCCAGGCTGTGCTTCCGCTTCCACTGTGAGCCCTGTCTCAGGGTCTCCATGCCTCAGCTCCGGATCTTAACCACCTGTGTGCTAACAGCAACTGCTGCCACCTGAGCTCGAGGGAGGAAAGCACAGCAGTTCTGCACATGGGCACTGTGTCCCCAGAAGCAAGAGGAGTAGGGCCCTTCTGGTCCACGTCCTGCAGGTGCAACACAAGACGCTCAATGAGTTCCAGCTCCAGCGGGAAGCTCTCTGTCTGCTAAGGAGCTCGGATGGGCACCTGAAGAACCAAGCTCAGACGGCTGCAGTGAGAAGACTGGGACACGAGCTGGAGAACATGGGGTGCAGTGCATGAACATGTGGCAAACATAAAACCATGCAAGGGCTTAGATACTGACTCCAAGGAAAGGGAAAATACAGCATTTCGTTCACATTTTATTTCTGACCCACCCCGCCCCCATGAGTCTTCGAAAGCAAGGTATGCCATTCATTAGGATCCCCAAGGCTGTGATTGGTCAAATAGGGGAAAGGGGCATTATGCTGAACTGACACAAGGTGGCGCTGCCTTCCAGCACTTGGGGGAAGCCCTCTTCCCCAGCAGGCCTTGGGGACAGAAAACAAACCCTGGCCCTGCTCTCCTGCCTCCACTCTGGTACGGTGAGCACCCAGCCCTGCCTCCCAGGATCCCCCAGGAACAATCAGAGCCTCACTGCTGCCACCAGGCTCCCTGGTTCCAAAAGCAGCCCTACAGCTGCACCCCAGCTCAGCCCCGACCCACGGGATGGCACAGCGGGACACGACAGGTTGACACGCCACCCTTCTTGGTGATATAAGTCCCCTCCTCAGAAAACTGCCCTGGCACTCCTGAGCTCTCCACAAAGACCCGCAGCTGCAATCCCGACTCACTTCGCAGGGGCCTGAAGCCCGTCCTCAGGGTCCCCAGGGTCCCCCATGACATGGGCTTGCTCAGCTAGACTGGCAGAAGAGTGCAAGGCTGAAATGTAATCAAAGCTTGGGTGGGGGGGGGGGAAGCTGCTTAACTGCACACGTGAGGAGGGCAGATGTGGAAGCTGGAAATCTGCAAGAGCTGGGTCTCCACTGGATGGCTGAGCGGCGGGGACTGGCCACACACTCCCAGGGAGGGGAGCTTAACAATGTGATTTCGCCATGCATGAGCCCCGGGCACTGAGGCAAGGCCATGCCATCAGCCCCGGGCATCAAGTCTTTAACACATTTGGCCACTAAGTTCCCGCTCCTCCTGCACGCCACTGCCTGCTGGCCTGGCTGTATCTGTCTTCTCAGAGTCAATATCACCCCTGTTGTCAGGGAGGGGGGAAATAAATCACAGCTTCAACAAACAATGACGAAGGGTCCCCCCAGTCAAACACCAACTGCTTCTAGAGCGTCACATTGTCTAAGTCGGCATTTCATCCGCCGAAGGGCCGGGTGTGGCCCCCCGGTTTGAAGCAGGACTTGGTGGTTGCAGTGACGAGCGCGCGGCACAACCGAGATCACTGGCACAAACAAGAGACTGAACATACACACACAGACACACGCACACACACAGACACGCTCTGGCTCGGAGAAGCCCACCCACACACAACACAGCAGCTGTGAGCATGTCCTGGCAGAGGGCACACGGACGGCAGGCTGCCATCCCCTGCCCCACAGGAAGCCCCAGGAGGGATTCAGCAGTGGCGAGTCTACAGCACTATGTGGACAGCGCCAGCCAGGACTGGACAGTGAGCCGGGCCGTCCTACAGGAGCCCCCGGGCCCCAGCCACAAGGACGGGGCTCAGGACAGCACGTTTGACTGCACGCACTTGAACTACTATAGTGTGGACTTGCTCCAGACAACTATAAATAATTTCTCGTGCTTTCTGAAAACAGTAAAAACTGAAACCTCCTTTTCGTCTGTGATGAAGGTGAGCATGTTATTTACACATACAGCCGGGCTGACCTTGACCCTGCACGGCGTCAGGGTGGACAGAAGGCTTGTCTGACGAGCAGGCCTCTGGCCCGCCGGCCGTGGAAGGCCACCTTCCCCTCGCTCCCAGGGCCCAGGGACTGCCAGGGAGGCTCAGGGACCACAAGGATACCACGACGAGCATGCTGAGCTCCAGGACATGGACGGACGCCCAGACTGCCTCAGCCTGGAGACAGCTCCGTTGAGGGGACCACAAGCAAACACCCTGAGCCACGTAACACTGTCTTCCTGGGTGGCAAGTACCTGGTTGGCGCTTTTCATTTTTGTTTTAAATCCAGATGGTTTTCGTCCTGTGACTTCTTCCCAGCTTACACAACCCAAATCCAGACAAACTATATGTACAGATTCTTAAACCCACAAATTAAAAATAAAAAACACCCTACAGGGGGAAGAGAGAGAGACAAGACAGTGAACTGAAGCTTTGTCAGCGCTTAAGTCCCGCCAGCTGGCCTTGCCCTGGAGCCCTGCCCCTCGCTCAGTCCGGCTCCTGCGCCCCGCCATGGCGGCCCCTACTCATCCTCCATGGCAGCTGTCAGAAGCCCCTTGTCAGTCAGGTGGGACTTCAGTGTGTTGAAAATGTGGAGCTGTTGATCCGGCCGCAAGGTCAGGAACTGCTGGATCAGTTTGCTGGGGTTAGGGCCCCTGGAACAGAACACAAGAAACAGTACTGAGTCACGGTCTGGAGGCTCCTGGGGCCCGACCACTGGTGTCTGCTCTGCTCTGGGGGGCATGGGCTAGGGGGTGGGGAGGGCTGAGAACCCCCGGTGGCCACGAATGAAGACACATTCACTGCGTTCACAGCTAAGGGCTCTTCTCGGGGATGCAGGGAGATAAGGCTAGCCTACTGGCACTGCCCCCAGGCTCCAGGGCACCAGGTTACCTGATGAAGCTGGCAATGTATACGTTGACAAAGGTGGCCATCAGATACTGGCAGTCAAAGCGATCCATGATGCCTCCATGGCCTGGAATGGTATTGGCGAAGTCCTGTAAAAGCAGAGAGCAGGGGCTGAGCCTGGTCCCGGCCTGCACGCCCCCTAGGCCAAGGACCTACCTCTGCGTCCAGCCACTGTTCTGAGCAGCTGAGGACAATGGAAATAAATACTGAATCTGATGCTGGGACTATTAACAGCCTCTGGCTATAATCTTACTAAATTACAATAGGTTCTTTGGAAGAAAGGAGTCTTCAAAAACTAAATAGAAATGTATATTATGAAAAACGCTAGGCCCAGTGCAGTGGCTCAACTGGCTAATCCTCCCCTTGCAAAAGTGCCAGGATCCCATATCATCGCTAGTTTGTATCCGGTTGCTCCACTAAGCATCTAGCTCCCTACTTATGGCCTGGGAAATGGCAGAGGATGGCTCAAGTTCTTGGGCCCTTGCACCTACGTGGGAGACCCAGAAGAAGCTCATAGCTCCCGGCTTTGGATCAGCTCAGCTCTGGCTGCTGCAGCCATTTGGGAGTGAAGCAACACATGGAAGATCTTTCTCTCTCCTTCTCTCTGTAAATACACTTCTCCAATGGAAGTAAGGATGGAAGGATGGAAGCACAAAAGGGGAGGGAGGGGGACAGACTAGGGGAGGAAAGAGGGAGACCCGGAAGAAGCTCCTGGCTTTGGCCTGAACCTGCCCTGGCTTTGCAGTATTCAGGAAGTGAACCAGCAGATAGAAGCTCTGTCTCTCCATCTCTCTGCAACTATGCTAATCAAATAAATAAAATAAGAAATCTCTTTTTTAAAAAAAGAATGACATCTTTTCACTGAATCAGCTCATTCAGTGCACGGCTCATGCACAGTGTGGACAGCCTAGAGTGCTGAAGGGGCGGCAGCCAGCAGGGAGCACCAGCAGACGAGCGGGTGGGAGAGAGGAGGTGGGGGAGCAGGGGCTCCTGCCTTGATCTTGAAGGCCCGCTTGAATCCACTTGCAAAGAACCCTCCAAAGGGGCCGATGAGCGAGGCGAAGGTGGACAGGGCCATGCTGTGGATCTGGAAGGGGTACATCCGGACGGTTTTCTGCGGACAGAAGCGGAGGACAGTCAGCTCAGCTTTGGCACAGGTCGGCAGAAACAACTTTTTACAGAACCAATTTACATACACTAAAAGTATCTTCCTCCTCCTCCGCTGGTTTTTGTATATCACTAACATCTGGTTCTATGAAAGATAAAGGTGCGCTGTTGCAGCACGCCGATTTGGTAGAAGGGTATTTAGACCACGCAGCCTTGCAGTGACTTCGCGGAAGCAGGAGGAGGATTTGGGTAACTGTGGGGGCTCTCTGACACCCCACCAGAACCTGACTGAGGTGTAACATGACGCCTGACACCCAATCAGGGGCCATCCGCAGCCCCCGGGTCTGTCTCAGAATGGATCGCCTACTCCCGCCCGTGTAACGCCAGGAAAACACCACTTCCCTCAGTTACAGAAATCTTCCCAACCAGACAACATCTCATGAAACAATACCAAAACATCACCTTAAAATCACCACAGAGCTTATGGGAAGAGAGTTTAAGTAGAAGGCTGTCAAACTCACAGTAGTAGGGACATTCCTTATAAAGTCCTAGTTTTCACTTGAAAGCCAAATCTTATCATGGGAACATTTACTGTCACTTATTTTGTGGTTGAAATGACAAGCTCACTTTGTTGTTTTCAGGAAAATGTCTGCCAAGTAGTCTCATCAGAAAAACTCTGATTTTGGGTTGCACTCAAGCAAAAAGAAACATTGCAAGAAAAACACATGGCACTCCGCTCCTAAGTACTCCGCCTAGCCAGCACCACACTTCAGCCGCCGACAGGAATGTTCTGCGCATGCCCTCCATGTCTGTAAAGGTGTGTGCGCCGAGGTCAAGAGTGAACAAAGTTAACCAGCTGACAGTTTTCTCAAAGACACTGCTCAGAGCACGGTGAGTGTGGCACGAGGGCTCCACCACCTGCTGGTCCCGGTGGAGCCGCTGCCTTAACTCGGGTTGCCACTGTTTCTGTGCATTATGCTTAACATCAACAGACTGTAAGAGGCAAATCACATCACAGCATTAGGAGAAGAGTTCCGGCCACACAGACCCCACGGAGGGACCGCAGAGTGGGCTCACACCGGAAGTGGCAGCTGTGTTTCCTGACCGTGCCTGGACCACGCTCCTCCACCCTGGCTTACAGCTCTGGAGGGATGAAGCTCGTTTTTCAGAGGGAGGGTGGCAGACGAGAGGCTCTTGGCAGTCCCTGGCACGTACCCAGCCAATGACAGACTGGACCACCCCAGGAATGTTGTACTCCTGCAGCCGAAACAGGTCCGAGGGTTCACAGTCCACCGTGAAGCTGTTGGTGTCATTGTTGTACTCCACGGGACAGACGAAGCACCGGTACCCGGACATGATGTAGGAGAGCTGAGGAGGGAAAGAGGCAGGCTGTGCTACCCAGCCTGGACACGGGCACTTGGACCAGCCACATTCCCCACGGTGCCTAGAACCCTGCTAACCGCACACTGCAGCTTGTGTTAGAGGCTAAGGCCTCACCACACAGGCATTCTACCTAAGAAACAAAAAACAGGCTCACGATCCACTGAGCTCTCACCCACCCAGGCCCAAGCTCCAAAGCCCTGCAAGAGAGCCAGGAAAGCCTCAAGAGATGAGCACCAGAAACAGGCTCTCCCCTCCCCACTTGAGGCCAGTCTGATCAGGGGCTCTTAACACAACTGGGGGAAAGTCACAGCATCAGGCAGCCAGGAAGGAGAAAGGGGGCTGGCACAGGGCAGAAAGCTGGCCTGAGGCTCAGGAGCTCCCTGGAAAACAGGATGGGCATCCACATCCTGGCAGATGACTTGAGGAAGACAATCTAGGTTGGAGTGCATAGGCGCCACTCACCCTGACCTTGGGCTATCAGATGCCTGACAAACATGGCACCTACTGGGTACCACCACAGCCAGGCGTCAGAGTCTGAACCAGGTGCACATGGCCTCTGCTCCTCCAACTGCCCGGACCCCGCCTGCACATGGTGACAGAGGTGGCCAACCCTGCCAGCCCACTGAACCCATTGCAAAGCACATGATGCTCAAACCCATCTTTGGGGTAGGGGCACCACCACTCAGCAAGAGTCCCTGACCTCGGGAGATACCCCTTGGAGGCCCATCCAGCCCTCTGAAGTTGGTGGGGACCTCCATCTACTCCCTGATCCCACTGGGAGCCATCACCTACCAGAAGGCCAAACACCACAGTAGCGAAGAAGCCCCCGATGAAGCCTTCCCAAGTCTTCTTTGGGGACAGCTGTGCAGAAAGGGCGAGTTCTCAGTACAGGCATTTCAGTAACACTGGCTAACTACCTCCCTTTCTGAATCCTAAGACATGGATCCCTGTTCCCTGCCCTAGACCTTTACATTTCTCCTCCGCTTCAACTGATCCTACAAATTTACTGTACTACAATACTGCATACTACTTAAACGCTTGAATCCAGATCAAAGCCCATCAAGGTGTGTCTAGACAGTCTTTAAAAATATTTTAATAGCTGTCTTTCTCTCTCTCTTTTTAATAAATAAATAATGGCAAGTGTTTGTTTTTAGCTTTTCTCTTACAAGCAATTAATTGCCAGTCAATCACCAGGGTGACACAAAGACACGGCCACCAGGACAACACCAGCTAGGATAACCTCCCCGCACACTCCGGTCCCATGCACAGCTCTACTTGTCTGGAACGTCACAGATCCCACAGGGGCAATCCATTTACCTTGATGAGGGGCGTCCGGCCGAAGAAAAAGCCAAACATGTAGGCCATGATGTCATTACAGATCACACAAGAAATGGGGACAATGAACCTAGGAAATACACCAAAGTGAGGCTCAACCCCAACAAGACAACAATGCCTCCCAAGTCCACAGCACAATGCCGGTCACACATTCCAGCACCACAATCCACGGAATACTTATAATCCAGGAAGAAGTAAGTTATAAGGGCCTTGCGTGATGGCTCGATTGGCTAATCCACTGCCTTGCAAGTGCCAGGAACTCATACGGATGCCGGCTGGTATCCTGGCTGCTACACTTCCCATCCAGCTCCCTGCTTGTGGCCTGGGAAAGCAATGGAGGACGGCCCAAAGTCTTGGGACCCTGCAACCATGTGAGGGACCCAGAAGAAGCTTCTGGCTCCTGGGTTTGGATCAACAGCTCCAGCCATTGCAGCCATTTGGGGAGTGAACTAGCAGATGGAAGATCTTCCTCTCTGCATCTCTTTCTCTTTGTGAATGTGTGTTTCCAATAAAAGTAAAATACTTTTTTTAAAAAGTTGTAAGAGAAGAAAATATCACACAAGCTGTACAGAGTATGTGGTACAGAGTTGGCAGTCACATGTTTACTGAAAGACCGGTGAATAAAGAGATGACATTCTATCAAACGTCAGCCGCTCTTTCCATTGCAAAGGAACATGAGGACAAGTTAAACCACACAGGAAAAGTAAAATGTTCTTTTGCCTATCGCTATCCCCTTTCCCAAAAATACTCACCTTAAGCCTTTCGAGTTTCTTGTCAAATCTCTACAATTCTAAACATATTTTAAGTCTAGTGCATAATTCATTGCTGTACTCCTTGTCACTAGCTCTCTGAGGGTTACATTTCCCTAGGACAGACTGGGGGCAAAAATCCCAACTGGAACAGCTGGAATTCTTTCCCCACCCGCATCAGGAAAGGGGCCCTTCCCACACGTGCCCCATATCTCTCCTCCCCTCACTCTGACACACGTCCTTACATTCCTCAACTGACTTAACACACACCCCTTAGCCCTGTCTCGCTCTGTCTGCAGAGGCAGGACCGGGAGCATCGGCACCTTCCTCTACGATCCACCCCGCCTCCCACCCCCATGGCATTCACTTTGTCAATGCTTCCAGCACAGACTCTGCTCTTAACTGTAATTAATTTGTCTCAGTTTGAAAACTGATAATTATAGGTCTTAATATTAGTCACTGCAGAACCAATTATAGATGGGTCTGTAAAGATGGGGGCTTGACCCATGCCAACCTTTAGAAATACCCTTTGTTGAGAAAGGCAAGGAGCCGGTGCCTCCCCAGACCAGTATATTTGTTTTACAAACATCTGCCTGTGCTGATGGGTTCCAAGCACTTTGCACATAGATACTGACCCACTTTCCAGAAGGCGTGCACTAGTGCATGCCAATGCTGAGGCCTGGAGACAGGCGCCACCTGGGGTCAGAGCCACACTCCCGACACCCTCCCTCATACCTGCTCACAGAATCGCCCAGCTCCTTTAGGCAAGCTGTTAAAATCACTTCCTATTAAAACCACTGGATTTCTACAATCAATCCTACTTGGCAATGGCATGTTCCTTTATAAAAAAGATTCATTTGAAAGGCAGAATGACAGAGAGAAGGAAAGACACATACCCTCCCACCTGCTGGCTCGATCCCTAAATGGGCACAACGGCTGGGATGGGCAGGGCCAAGTCAACAGCAGGGGCCAGGAACTCCGTCCTGGATCCTGTGTGCATGGCAGGGACTCAAGCACTTGAGCCATCACCTGCTGCTTCCAGGTGCATTAGCAGGAAGATGGAAGGAAACCCAGGAGCCAGGACATGAACAGGTGCTCCGGTATGGGAGGCAGGCTCCCCAAGCAGCAGTGTCACCCGCGGCACCAAGGATATTACTCTTCTGATTCACGATTCACTGCTATTACTTATTGAGAATGGCTTCTCTGTGACTATAAAGCGGATCAGTTACCAATCTCGTCTTGCCCCTTACCATGAAGATGTTGTTAGATAACCCACTTAGTTGCTCTACTTTTGTCAAATGTGGCATTTACGCAATTTTCAACGTTCCTTTATAGTTACTAATCTGTTTTTTTTTTCTTCATGACATTCAGTACTTTACATTTTCTTGGAAAACCATACTACTTCCTTAAAGTTTTCCAGCATGTTGACATGTGGCACAGCCTTTGATTCTAAGCTGCTCCTGCCTCCCAGTTGAGAGCAGTGGTTCTCAGAGGCAGGTCCCAACCAGCAGCATCACCAGGAAGGCGCTAGAAACACAAGCTGAGGCCTCAGGCCAGCACTCTGGGAGAGCACCACCCACCAGGCATGCTGAGCTGCCCCCGTTCTCAGCAGTCCCTCCCACAGGCACTCACCAGATCATTCCCTCAAACAGGTTGTGGATAACGAGATGTGACTGAGTCACAACAATCAGCAAAGTCACATGCGTCCAGCCAAACTGCAAAAGAAGAAAAAACCCTCAACCTATCAGCTTACTTCAGAAGTAACTTCAGAGCATAATTAATACCAAATAAGAAGCTGCTGAGAGACAAGCAGGAAAAATGCTTGCTTTTATGCCCAGCTTATTCAAAATAAAAGGTACAGAACAGGATTCTGGCAATAAAACTGTTAACAGTCCATCAAGGGCCTGGTGCAATGGCCTAGTGGCTGAACCCTGGCCTTGTATCCACCAGGATTCCATGTGGGCACCACCAGTTTGTGTCCCAGCTGCTCTCTTTCCCATCCAGCTCCCTGCTTATGGCCTGGGAAAGCAACAGAGTATGGCCCAAGGCCTTGGGACTCTGCAAGCATGTGGGAGGCCCCAAGGAAGCTCCTGACTCCTGGCTTTAGATCAGCTCAGCTCCAGCTGTTGTGGCCAGTGAACCGGTGCATAGATCTTTGTCTCTCCTCTCTCTGTGTATCTGCCTTTCAAATAAAAAATAGTAATAATAAAATAAATCTTTTTTTAAAGATTTATTTATTTTTATTGGAAAGTCAGATACACAGAGAGAGGAGAGACAGAGAGGAAGATCTTCCATCCGCTCCCCAAGCAGTCTCAAAGGCAAGAGCTGAGCTGATCCGAAGCCAGGAGCCTGTCCTGGGTCTCCCACACGGGTACAGAGTCCCAAGGCCTTGGGCCATCCTCAGCTACTTTCCCAGGTCACAAGAAGGGAGCTATATGGGAAGCAGGGCCACTGGGATTAGAACCAGTGCCCATACAGGATCCTGTGCATGCAAGGCAAGGACTTCAGCCACTAGACTACTGTGCTAGGCCCAAAATAAATCTTTAAGAAAAAAAAAAGAATCCCATAAAAAGCAGTTACCAGGACAGGCAGTGAGCCTGGTGGTTAAGACACTGCTTGATACAAGCCTGAGTTCACATCAGAGTATCTGGGTTCAACACCCAGCTCTGGAGCCTGACGAGTTTCCCGCTAATGCAGACCCTGGGAGGCTGCTGTTGGTGGTCCCGGTCCGTGTTCACCCTTCACTTGGTAGACCCAGACTGAGTTCCTAAACTTGGCTTCAGCTGGCTCAACCCAAGCCCTAAGTGGGCATTCTCAGAGTGAACCGGTGGACAGGAGCTCTGCTTCTCCATTAAACAGAGTAGAGACTCTGTGGCCCATGAGGAGGCAGGCCCACCCAAGCGCTCAAGGCCCGAGTACTATTCCCTTTCTGGGTCTTTATGGAACACGTGGGGCACTCGGAGCGGACAGTCTCAAGGTGAGGCAGGGAAAGACCCAAAAAGGTATCTCAGCTCATCCGTACCTGCACCTGCACCCGCACCCAGGATCCAAGTGCACAGACTAGGATCTATAAGAGCCACTGGGCCTGGGAAGATGCAGCTGCCAGCCCTGAACAGGAAGCCCTCCTCCATGCTCTAGGTTCCAGCTGCACACAGACAGACACCCTGCATTCCAGAGCTCCCATTTACTGCAGAAAGCATGAGAAAGGCCTTGGCGCATCTACAGGGCCTCAGACAAACCGGCCCTCCTGCCATGCTCCCTCACCATGTAGAACTGCAGCCGGTAATGCTTCTTGACCAGGCTCAGCACGAACATGCAGAAACCTAGTTTTGGGAGGGAAGGAAAAAAAAAAAAAAAAAAGAGAGAAAGAAAAAAAAAAACACACATGACATTCCATCTTTATCTTATCCTGCCCTTCCATTACCTGTGGTAAGTGGTCCCTTCACGTCTCCACAGCAGCGAACTAGAGCACAATTTCAAAGCTGGAGGAGAAAAACTAACTATTTGGATGAACAGTCACAGGAGAAAAACTGACTCCTTCAAGACAATAAAGGTAGGGCCACATTGAGGCGCAGTGGGCTAAGCCGCTGTCTGTGCTGCTGGCAGCCCATGTCAGGGCACCAGCTCAAGTCTCGGCTGCTCCCGTTCCCATCCAGCTCCCTGCTAACGTGCCTGGGAGAGCAGAAGATGGCCTGAATACCTGGACTCCTTCCACCCAATGGAAGACTCAGTCGGCTGCAGGCTCCTAACTTCATCCGGCTCTGCCTTAACACCACAGCCATTGGGGAATGCACCAGATCTCTTCCTCAGCCCCTCGGCATTTCAAATAAATTAAAACCTCACTTTAAAAGGACAACAAAGGAAGATGCTGTTTTATCACCTTGTAGATCACACTCGGTTTGCTGATACCACTGTCTGCTCCCAAAGCAGGGGCCAGCACGCACGGGCAGGTCAGCTGCCGGTCTTTCTGTAATCTTACCAGGACAGTCGGCCCGGCCATCTGTCCTCCCGTCTGTCCGTCCCTCCATCCACCCTCCCACCCATCCATCCACGCAGCCATCCATGTCCGCAGCTGTTTTTGTGCTACCGTGGCAGAGCTGAGCGCCTGCAACAGAGACCCAAGGTCCCCCACACCTGAAATGTTTACCATCTAAAAAAAGCTCACCAGCCCTAGACCTTGAGAACAGGGCTGGAAAGGACTCAGAATACAAGGGGCTCAAGACCACCCTGAGTGGGGGAAAAAAAAAAAAAAGGCAGCAGCTCCACATCAGAAGAAAGGGAAGAAGGCCGGCCCCTGGTGCTAGGGATCCGCAGCAGCAGGCCTGACTGCCGTGAGCTGCCCCAAGCCTGACGCCTGCTCTCTCATACCCCACTGCAGGCGCATGGCAGGGAGGCAACACTACAGAGCCAGGTGCTGTTCACTCCGCCAAGGACCACTTCAGGGCGGGCCAGACAGGGGAAAGCAAACATCGCCAGTGCTTCCAACGGGCTTTGAAGACAGCAATGAGAACGCACAGCACTGTTACAAGGAGTCTAAATGAAAACCCACAGCACTATTACGAGGCGTCTAAAACCTTAGCTGACTTTATAGTAATGTTATTATTTGACTATCTGTAAAGATAACTAAATAAACATGAGGGGAAACTAACTTCCTTGCTGAGACTGCAAAACTTTTTAAAAATAGATTTACTGATTTCTAATTGGAAAGGCAGATTTACAGAGAGGAGAGACAGAAAGATCTCCCATCTGCTGGTTCACTTCTCAAGAGGCCGTAACAGCCAGAGCTGAGCCGGTCCTCCAGGTCTCCCACGTGGGTGCAGGGTCCCAAAGCCTTGGGCTGTCCTCGACTGCTTTCCCAGGCCACGAGCAGGGAGCTAGATGGGAAGTGGAGCAGTCACAATACGAACCGGCACCTATATGGGATCCTGGTGCATGCAAGGCGAGGACTTTAGCCAGTAGGCTACCGCAGCGGACCCCATTCAAACTTGTTCAACCTAAATACGGTAAAATGCCCTAGGCTGTAACGTCCCTTCAAGGCAGTCACCTAAACAAAGCAAGTTCCTGCATGACACAGAAGAATCTCTGCAGTCAGGCCACGGCCATGCTCTGCTGTCCTCCGGGGAGGGCACAGACTGCAGCCCCCTCCATCTCCACTTAGTAACAGCCGTGCTGCTCAGCCTGACACAGCCTCCGCTCCGCTCCCTCTGGGGGCTGGAGTCCACGCCTGACCCAGGAGCCCCCCACTCGCACGGCCAGTCACAGGGGGACGTGACACACAAGCGGCCCACCTGTCAGGTAGAGAGTGAAGGAAATGAAGCGATGGTATTTGCTGAGGATCCGCAAAGGCTCCTCTCTCTGGACCAGCGTGAAGAAGTAATCCGTGACAGTCTCGCCGTAGAAGAAGTAGTTGACGCACAGCAGGAAGTACCTGTAAGTGGAGCCGGGTCTCGCGGCTGTTGTGCGAGCCTGCGGTGACCTCTCCTGGTCCCACCCAGCCTCTCTGCGAACACCTGCCACAAAGCACCCCACCCACATCCCCAAAGCGCTTACCAGCTGAGGGTTCTGAACCAGGGCAGGTCATAGGAGTGGTAGACATTGTAGCCAATAGTGATTATCTCATGGAAACACTTAATCTGAACACACATGACCTGCAAGACACAGCATCAGACACTCACTGCCTGCCCAGTTACCGTGAGCTTACCAACAGCTCACAGGCCGTCAAGAAAAGCCATTCTACCCAAGAAAAGCCTCACTCCCACCACGATTCTGCCCCTTGTGTTATAGATCCAACTTCTTACAATAAAATACAGGCTTCCTTTTTTTTTTTTTCTTTGAAAGGCAGAGTTACACAGAGAGATGCATGACAGAGAAAGAGGAAAGAGTGAAAACTTCCATATATTGGTTTACTCCCCAAAGACCACAAAAGCCAGGGCTGGGCCAGGCTGGTGCCAGGAGCTTCATCCACCTTGGACATGAGTGCAGGGGCTCCAGGGCCATCCTCTGCTGCTTGCCCCAGGCACTTCAGGAGGAGCATCCAGAAATAAACCCTGGCACATTTGGGACGCAAGGGTCATTGACTGAAGCTTAGCGCACTATGCCACAGTGCTAACCCTTCCATGAACCTTTAAGTGTACAGACATATTGCTTTGAGGAGCATAGAGACAGAGAGCTATCTGCCTTCTACCAGCTCACTCCCCAAATGTCAACAATGGCCAGGGTTGTGCCAGGCCTCAGCCACGAGCCAGGAACTCCATCCAGACCTCCCAAGTGAGTTGTAGGGACCCCGGTATTTGAGTCATCATCTGCTGTCTCCCAGTTGTGCTGGCAAGCAGCTGGACAAGAAGCAGAGGTGGGACTGACTTCCAGGCACTGATACCAGATGCTAGTATCCTACACAGAAGTTTGAACTTACTGCTCCACAATGCCTGCCTGCACCCCCTCAATCAACTTTTTATCCCAGAACCTCCCAGGGTTCAAACAACCCCTTCCTCTTCTGAATGAATTTAAATGCTTGAAAATCCCACACTGCCTGGCCGCAGGTTCAGCTGTGTGTAGTCTGACCAATCTAGGAGAGCGAGCAGACAGAGCAACTAGGACTGGCATAGAGCTAAGCCCTGGAAGAAGGCCCCACAAAAACAACACCAAACTGGGAGCAGTGCGCAGACACAGCCAGGGTTGTACACAGCAAGAATCATAAACTGGGGCCCAGAGAGACGGCTTAGGGCTGAATCCTCGTCTTGCAAGAGCGAGGGATCCCAAATGGATACAGGTTCATGTCCCAGCTGCTCCACTTCCTGTACAGTTCCCTACTTGAGACCCGGGAAAGCAGTGGAGGATGGACCAAATCCTTGGGACCCTGTACCTATGTGGGAGACTAGGAAGAAGCTCCTGGCTCCTGGCTTTGGATCAGCTTAGCTCTGGCCATTGCAGCCATTTGGAGAGTGAACTAGAGGAGGAAGATCTTTCTCTGTCTCTCCTTCTCTTTGTAAATAAATCTGTCTTTCCAATAAAAATAAATAAATCTTAAAAAAAGAATTAAAACCCAGGGAGCAGGTGTTAGTCCAACAGTTAAGATTTCTACATCTTACGCCTGGAGCGGTAGCCTAGTGGCTAAAGTTCTCGCCATCAATGCGCCTGGATCCCATATGGGCGCTGGTTCGTATCCTGGCTGCTCCACTCCCCATCCAGCTCCCTGCTTGTAGCCTGGGAAAACAGCAGAGGACAGTCCAAAGCCTTGGGACCCTGCACTCACGTGGGAGACGCAGATAATGCTCCTGGCTCCTGGTTTTGGATCAGCTCAGCTCTGGCCATCGCGGCCACTTGGGGAGTGAGCCAGCAGATGGAAGATCTTTCTGTCTCTCCTCTCTGTAAATCTGACTTTCCAATAAAATAAATAAATCTCAAAAAAAGAAAAAATGATATCTACATCCTGTACCACAATGTCTTCGTGAGTTCGATTCCTGACTCCAGCTTCCTGCTGCTGCAGACTTGGGAAGGCAGAAGTGATGGTTCAAGTGACAGGAACCTCACACACACGTGGGAGACTCCCAACTGACTTCTCAGATCCAGCTTCAGCCCAGCCCAGCCCTGCCCGTTATGAAATGTCAGGGGTGAGCTCCTGGGTGTAGGCACATTCTTGTACACATTCTGTTTCTCTGCTTCTTCAACAAACTTTCAAAGAAATGTGAAGAAATCTTTAACCACAAACAGCTGGCAGCTGCTGATGACCCTCCAGCTGGCAGCTGAAAGGGCAGGGTACAGCTATTCTAGGCAGAAGTGCTCTGAGGAGCCTTGGTTCCCCACTAGCTCCTAACCAACTCAGTCAGTGCCTGCACGCAAGAGAGCCTTGCATGAAGAGGTGGTTCAGACACTGCTGGGGACGCCCACATCCCATACCCAAGAGCCTGGGTTCAAGTACCAGCTCCGGGCCCAGTGCAACGGCCTAGCAGCTAAAGTCCTTGCCTTGAATGCACCTGGACCGGTTCTAATGGGCACTGGTTCTAATCCTGGCTGCTCCACTTCCCATCCAGCTCCCTGGCTTGTGGCCTGGGAAAGCAGTCGAGGACAGCCCAAAGCCTTGGGACCCTGCACCCATGTGGGAGACCTGGAGGAAGTTCCTGGCTCCAAATTGGCACAGCATCGACCATTGCGGTCACTTGGGGAGTGGATCATCGGATGGAAGATCTTCCTCTCTGTCTCTCCTCTTCTCAGTATATATGACTTTGCAATAAAAATAAATCCAGTACCAGCTCCGCTTCCAATTCCAGCTCCTTGCTAACGTGCACCCTGGGAGGTGGCAGAGGATGACTCAGGTAGCTGAGCCCCTACCAAGTGGGAGATCTGGGTGGCCCGGCTCAGGTCTGGCTCACCTCAGCCTACCACAAGCACTTGAGGAATGAACCAGCAAACCTAAGATCTCCACGGGCTTCTCCCTCTGTCCATCTGCCTTTCAAATTAAGTGAAAATAAATCCTTAAAACAAAATCGTATGTAAATGGCACTTACAATCATCATTAAAACCATTGGTCCCAGGTAGATGATGATGAAGAAGAATGCAATCATGGCCAGGGTCAGGATGCCTCTCACCCACCAGTTCTTCCATCTGGTTAGAGTACAGGGAGGAAAGACAACACGGGTTAGGATCCTGAAAGAATCCAAATTCCACCCGCCAGGCCCAGGTCCCCCCTCAGAGATTGGAAGGCCTTGCATTCTGTCCTTTCCGGAGCCCTGGTCACTCTCAAGGAGGCAGCAGCCACGTGCTGGTGGCAACAGGGCCCCTAGCGCCCAAGCCTCATCTACAACCAGGGTTCCAGCAGGGGCCCCGAGGACTGCAGAACACTCAGCTGCAGGCCCAAGGCAGGTATCAGACAAAAACCCCAGACAAGCCAACCCCAGGGAAACACAGTGCCCTCTGCTCCTGTGTCCGCCTGATGAAACTGAGCCTGCTTCCTGGAGCACAATCCTGCCCTGTACAGCCCCCCCCCCCGGGGGAAGGGGACGAAGCAATGACAACGACCACTATCACCGCGTCTGTAAGAACTTCACATGCCCTGTGTCATTCAAGCCCTAGCTGGGGTCTAGCCCAGCACTTAGCCATTGCACAACACAGCCTCTCGGGGGGCAAGGCAGGAGGCACACAGATGAAATGTTGGGGCCTTGTAAGTTGTGTTGCCTATCTACCCAGAAAGCTGCCATTAGGGGGACTGGCTTCTCAATGGCCAAAAGCTTTTCCTTTCGGACCAGTGTTGTAGCAAAGTAGGTCAAACTGTTGCTTGCCACGCTAGAGTGCCAACCACTCTGATCCAGGTCCCTGCTAACGTACCCAGGAAAGTAGCACCAGATGGCCCAAATACCTGGGCCCCTACCATCCGAGTGAGAGACCAGAACAGTTGCTGGCTCCTGGCTTCAGCTTAGCCCAGGCCTTGGATTTTGTGATCATCTAGGGTTTCACTATCTTTCTTTTCTTTGTTTCTCTCTCTTACTCACTCACCCTTTCAAATAAATAATCTTAAAAAAAATTTTCTCCTAGTTTCACCTAAGCTGAAGTATTCCCAATGTATCTGAGAGAATTTAAAGAGTTATTCATCATGAAAGTATCTGGGAGAGGGAAAACTAATCTTGTAGCCAAAAATTCGGGCTGCCAGCAAAAAGCAGTTTGCCTCTTGGTCACCAACACAAGGTCAAGTTCTGGCAGTCTGCCACGCCTGCCAACCTCGCCCATTCCGTCCTAGGTCCCCACTCTTCCTCCTCCTTGGACTGCCCAGAGCACCCTTCCAGGGCCAGCTCCCTCTGGGAGGGGCTGCCCCCCAATCCTGGCCACCCTCTGTGCCATCACTGCCAAGCACCAGATGACAGCAGTGGGGACCAGCAGGGAAGTGGGCACCCTGTCCCCTCTCTTAACAAGCCTGCAGACTTCACCAAGCCGGTTACCTGGAGGACAGGTTGGAAAGGGCCCTATTGAGGACCTCTGGAGTGTCATCTGCCGGCACTGGCGGGGGAGCCAGCTCGGCTCGACTCTCGCTGTCTGACGCGGTCTCTCCATCGACTTTCGCTTCAGACTCCGACTCCTACAGGAAAGAAGCACGGAGGAGAAAAAGTCAGATACACTCAGGAGAGCAATGGGCATCATGTGGCTGACACCTGGCTGAGGATGCGGCACAGCTGGGTGACAGGACACAGGGGATGCCGTCACGACACTGGTCCCCCTGTGAGGTCTGTCCGCATATCATCGGCCTCGATTGGGAGGAGGGCTCAGCCCAGAACCTAGCAGGCTGTGACTGGTCTTGTCAGTGCTGATCCCTGAGCTGGCCCTGCCCAGGGATTCCAGGCTTATCCAATCAAGGCTGGCTGCAGGGTTCCAGGAAGGGCCATCCAGCTCGGAAAACTCCCCACCAGCACCTGCACACACAGTCCCTGTTCCACACAGCACGCTACAGATGCTCAGTACCTCCAAAGTGGCCAGTGTCCCCACCTAGGCTCTCAGGAGTAGCCGGTGTATGGGCCATCACCAACATCCCCCCACAAGTCCACAGTATCACTTCCAGACATTACAAGATCACCCTGTGTAAAGGCAGTCACACTTAACAGCCTACCTCGGCCAATGCGCCATCGTGGGGCCTGTCCTTTCCCTGCCACCAGGCCTGGCCATCAGCAGATTCCACGAAGCCCCTCATAGAGCTGCCCCAGTCACGAAGGAAGCTCCTGCAGGAGCTCACCTGGCTGCAGTCTGGGGAGACGACTGAGACCAGGCCAGCCAACAACTCTTCACCCAAAGGCCCAAGGAAAGGCTATTCTGAATCCCAATTCCTACCGGGAAATGTTTCCCCCTTGGGGGATTCTGAATAGATGCAGTGTGTGGGGGGGAATGAAACCACTTAGTACTGCAGTCACAGCCTACTAAGTGCGTGCCTCCAGTGTAAGGGTTCATTGTAAACGTGCCTGTACTCCTAGAGGTATGGAATCTCCAAAGAGACACCTGCAGCCTGTTACCAGAAAAAGCTCCTGCTTCCTGAAAACACCAGGAGGCAGACAGGAGACAGGAGGAATCTTGGGATTTATGGGAAAGACAGCTACTTCGAGGCATGCAGTTTTATTACTCTGCATTGAAGTGATATGACCAGGACCTCCAACCTATGCATCGTAAGTTCCTATCACAGGCTTTCTGCTTTGTGTCACCATTAGCCCCTAATCATGTACTTGCTCACTGTCACATAGCTTTTGAATCTCTTACTACAAAAACCCCATAATAAGTGATTATTTCGCTCGAGGTGCTTCTTGTTTATAAAATGAAAGTCATTTCACTCGCCTTGGAATCGCACTCGGATTCACTGAACCCCAACGCTCCAGAGCCAAACAGCACTTCCCACCCTCATGAGCTCCCACAGAGCAGTAAGTACCCTGGTACAGGACTGGGAAGAAAGAAACTAGCAGGACACAAGGACCTGGGAGGCCAACCATCTGTCCCACTCCCACTGGCCAGGTCTTTCCAGAGTCCATTTTAGTCTTCACAATGAGGGCCCAGCTCAATGGCTAAAGTCCTCGCCTTGCAAGTGCACGTCCAGGATCCCATATGAGTGCCAGTTCTAATCCCGGCAGCTCCACTTCCCATCCAGCTCCCAGCTTGTGGCCTGGGAAAGCAATGGAGGATGGCCCAAAGCCTTGGCACTCTGCACCCATGTGGGAGACCTGGAAGAAGCTCTTGGCTCCTGGTTTCAGAATGGCTCAGTTTTGGCTGTTGAAGCCATTTGGGGAGTGAATCAGTGGCTGGAAGATCTTTCTGTCTCTTCTCTCTGTAATTCTGATCTGCCTTTCCAATAAAAATAAATAAATCTTTTATTTTAAAAAATCAGAATGAATTAATCTAGCAACAGCCACAGTTTGCAACCTGAGCTAACAGTCTGAATTTCCCTGATGACTAACCCACAGTGAAACTGAACAGCACTTCAAATTGTTCATTGCCAATAAAGGTTGTCAAATTACTGGTCAGTGTTTCTGCTCTCCTCTGCCCGTCTTTAAGACTGCCTTCCAGGGCCCGGCGCGGTGGCGCAAGTGGTTAAAGGTCCTCGCCTTGCACGCCCGGGATCCCACATGGGCGCCGGTTCTAATCCCGGCAGCCCCGCTTCCCTTCCAGCTCCCTGCCTGTGGCCTGGGAAAGCAGTCGAGGACGGCCCAAGGCTTTGGGAACCTGCACCCGCGTGGGAGACCCGGAAGAGGCTCCTGGCTTCGGATCGGCATAGTATCGGCCCGTTGCGCTCACTTGGGGAGTGAATCATCGGACGGAAGATCTTCCTCTCTGTCTCTCCTCTCTGTATATCCGCCTTTCCAATGAAAAAATAATAAAAAATAAATCTTTAAAAAAAGACTGCCTTCCAGGTGCTTTTAAGCATTCTAGAGTCGCATACTTAGTGTCAGTTCTGCGTTCTTCAACCTTCTCTAACCCTGAGTCTCACCGTTCACTCCTCCCTCCTCACCCCACCACTGCACATAAGCTTCCTAGAGTCGGTGCTGCTTGCCTTGCTCTCCTCACAGCCCCAGGCCTGACCCACAGCAACACGCCTGTTGGAGGTAAAAACACGAGAGCGATGAAGAGCAGCATTCATTCCAGTGTGGCTCAGAGAGGCCCGGCTCCTGCAATTGTAGTGACAGCTATTTCTTCATTCACTGCCAACTATGGCATGAACCAGAAAGACAGGGACCCCCAGAGACGGCCTTGTCAGTAGCGCCCAGGGAGAGAGTCCCAGAGCTCCTGATAGCAAGACTTACTCCTTATTTTAAGCACGGCGAGCCACAGGGCTCTGGACAAGTGCCCCAAGTGCCTGTGTTGTGTCCTCACCCCAGGAAGAACCCCCTAACCTGTGGGGATGTCCTGAAGACACAGCAAAACCCCACCCACCCAGGATTGTGTCCTACTCCACTGCCCCAAGAGGTTCTGAATACTGTACCACCTCCAGCACTGTCCCTCCCTGGGTGGAGGGAACCAAGACCATGCCATCCATTCTTCATGGTACATTCCCACCCGCAGCTGGCGTAACTGCCTGCAATACAAGGTGACACAGCCCCATGACCATTCAGCCCTGGAATCTACAACTTGGTCTTTAAGATGTGAGCATCTGCTAATGGGGCTGGGTTAGACGGCAGCACCTGGCAGCATGAGCTAGACCTAGAGGGCGGGTCTGGCCAGGCCAGGCAACAGCAGCCACTGGTGAATGCCAAGATGGAGCAGGCCATGACAGACTGGGCCATAGCACCCACCAGCACAAGTAACACTGTGGGGGCGAGCACGGGAAGGGGACTGCAGGGGCTCCCGTGCTGGGCCACTGTTTCTGCTGGTAAGCATGATAGCTGGGATATTGGGCAAGCCCTGTCAGGATCCAAGGCTGGGAGTGTGCCTAGTAGGGAAAATGTAGATACCCTCTGATGGGCTGCAAGCTCCCAACAGTGACCATGAGAATCAGGGCGGGGGGCAGGTCTGGCCAGACAGGTGGTAGCACCCAATGATGTGTACAAGAGCTGAATGAGATGTGGGACGAACTGGACCAGCCTGCTGCACATACCGGCTACCCAGGAACCAGGGCTGAGGGTGGGCCAGATGGGGGTTTGGGGAGGTTGCTCTGACTAGGCTGCAGTTCCTGCCAGTGCACATGAGGGCCGGCTGTGTGGTGAGCAGGGCTGGATTGGGCCACAGCATCTGTTGGCTTGCATAAGAAATGGGGCAAGGGACAGAGCTGAGTGGACCACTGCAACTACCAATATATGTGTAGGCTGATATGGGTGACGGACTGAGCTGGATCCCTAACTGGCTGGCACACAAGCCAGGTCTGCGGTCACCTCTGGCAAGGATTCTTTGGGGACTCCCCCAACTGGACTGCTGGATGCAAAACTCGAACCATGGTGAAAATCACAGGATCTGTGGTCTGACCATGGAGTGCATGTGTCAGAACTGGGTCTCCTCAGATTCTGAGGCCTGTGCAATGGTTGGCATGCCCAGACGCACACGGGGGACGTGACATCACTAGACCTGCAGAGGACATCGAGTCCCTTGGATGGCAGAACAAATTGCACAGCTCTCCCAGACAGGCTTCAACAGCGAGTGGCATGGTGAGTAGATACTTCCAAGGTGGACTTTGTCACCTAATGGACCTTGGAAGGATTTCCTCAACCTTGGAGCAACAAAATCAATAACGTCTTGAAACTATCCAAACCACTTAGGCAGCACCCTCGCAGCATGCTCCACACTGGGAACCCTGTGATGACATCGGGCAGCCGTCCCCCATCTCCAGGCACTGAGGTAGTTTGGCTGCTGGAATCATCCCTCTCCCCTTCTCTCTACCCCGCTACCTCCAGATAGAGAAAGAAAAAAAAACTTGGGGAAAAAATGTGAGCCCCCATGTCCCAGACAGACCCCTATGGAGGCACTTGGAAGCAACAGCCACTGAGTGTAAACTCGACCAGCAGGCAGGCAGGGAGGCAGGCAGGCGAGAGGGCACTCACTGTTCACACTCACGCAAGGCCCTAGCGGGGTTATTTTTAACTTAGTCATCCTGTTTTCAAAGAGACTCACAAAGGCTGCTGGCTCCCTAGGAAGGACCCCAATAAACCCAGCGGAAGCGTGCGGGGAGGGCCAGGCGGCTCCATCCTGTGCTCCGAGTCTGGCTGGACCATAGGGCCTTTTCTCAGGAACCCTTGGCCCAGCACTGTGTCCTGTCAAAGCTAACCACTCCCTCCATGTAGGAAGGGATGTTTCCCGAGGCAGAGTAGTAGAGAAGACAGAAAACGGGCCCAAGGACACCATGACCTTCCTCACCACCGAGACTGCAGGGTGACTAGGATAAACAATCAAGACAGGAAGGAAGTGACCGAAGAGACAAGCCTACACAAGAGCAACTCTCTGGGTTGCACCTGCCTGTAAGCCGGGAACGCCAGGCCTCAACCAAGCTTGCCAAATTAGCATCCGCAATGCTCTACCTGGAGGTGCCCCGCACACAGCTGGTCAGCCCTGAACAGACCCCATGCTCTCAGGCAGGAACAGGCGAGGGATCAGGGCCAAGCAACCAGCTCTGCTAGCCTC